AAACCTTGCACTTTGTAAATCAGCTTCACTAGGATTTTTTGATTTACAGTACAAAAGCAGAGATTAAAGACAGAAAGTTAGAAATTTGAACTAACGTTTACAGTACTTGTCTTACTGCCTGAAACTGCACTTCCACAAACTGCTTTAACTTGCACAAACTGATATTTTCTCTGGAAGAAGCAGTTCCTCCTTATCTCTATCTTGGATCCCCTTCACCCCTTCTCTCCAATGTCCATCATCTTGTGCACACGCAGATGCCTGAACACCTACATGCCAAATTGGACCAGAGGAATGATTTGGACTAAGTCTAATGCATTAAAAAAGAAAGAAAATAATCCTACTAGTTTAAAATTGCATAAATTCCTCAGTTTGGCATATCACATGGCCAGCAGAAGGAAGGCTAAACAAGGTTTTAAACTGGATTGAGGGAGTCTGCAAGATTGTTTGAGTACTGATAGCTCTTCGGTGGACTCACATCTGTCTTGAAATACTAACAAGTTTTACCGTACTGACTTACAAATTGTATCATATGCCTGAGACATGTGCATGTGTCAGAACAGCCTGGAGCAAAACCCCATAATTCCTATAGAAGGGTGTAAACTCTGGCATAGACATGATTAATAATGCCTATGGCTGAGGGATCAAGTTAAGGAGTAAAAATTGATTTATTTCATAAGAGGCTTGTATAGTCTTCATTTGTGCTTCATCTTAGGATTCTTTTGGTTTATTTAGTGCCCTGGGGATGCTACTTTGAATACCTTTCTGAATGGAACAAATATGCTGATGATGAAAATGTTATGACAATAACTTACGAAGAGCTAAAAAAGGTGAGGTTACCAATAGTTACAAATATTTTATACTTCAAAGAGCATTTGTTCCTAAACCAATTAACCATTATATTCATGTAGTGTATTCAAACTGCGTGATACTGTATGAGATAGATTCCTTTTTTAAGAGAAGCAAAGGTGAAATTCAAACTTAAAAACCTTTTTAAAATTTTGATTGTGAAAATGATTCTTGTTTTCTCTTTAGCTGTGATATAAGCCCAAATCACTGTAAATCAAAATCCCCAGTAATTTTTTGGGGGGAGCTTTTATATATTCAACAGTGTAGATTTTGCTCAACTGTAAATCACGTAAAATCTTTTGTGATCTATAGGCAGACAGCTCATATCTCCTCTGAAATAATTATGGAGAAGAGAACCACTATGTACCACTCCAGTCCTACTGAACTCTATGAATATTCTATATACGTAGCCAGCGGAGAGATGTAGGGAAGCGCCAACACCTCGGAAAGCACTGTAATTTGTTCAAATGTCATGTGTTATGTTACATTCCTTTTTTCAGAATCCGGTCCTGGGTGTGGAAAACATAGCTGCTTTCCTTGGGATTTCCCTGACTGAGAAAGAGCTTCAGAGCGTGGTAGAGAGGAGCAGCTTCCAGTCAATGAAGAAGAATGCGCAGAAGACCCATGGGGCATTTGGCAATGTTCTCTTTCGCAAAGGTAGGAAGCTCCAAGAGGTCCAGAGGTAGAAATGTCACACTCCTAAGAACTTGGGCCACACATCCATCTTTTGCTTCTTTTTTGCGCACGTATTAGCGTTACAGATTAGTATCAAGCAGGTTATATCACTGTTATGCTTGAGAAGACTAGTCAAGGAGCACTGGTGAGGAAGTGACCCAGCAAGGCTCTGGCAGCAGGCTGCAGACAGCACAGGAGAAGCAACCACACAGAGCAAATTTTAGAGGCCCACAGATGACTGGCAGGAAGGAGGAACTGTCATGTGTCTGAACTCCTCTCCACCTCTGCACCAAGATCACTGATTTTTCAGCCATTAGAGGCCTACCTGAGCAGGCAAAACTGGGCCAAACTCAGCCTGAGTGGCATGATCACATTTTTTAGGAGAGTATAGGATCTCCTGAAAGGGCCACTGCCAACCCCCTGTTCACACTTATGGGTTAGAAGTACGCCAAGCATGCAAGAATCAGGTACATAGAGAAGGGGAAACAAAAGAGAACTACTTTTGCAGTGTGGTGTAGGGGACACAGACATGAGAGGGCCAACCTGGCTGTCAGAATCTATTTCTGCATTTTACATTAAAGAAATCACTGGATAAAAACTCAAGCTGCCAAGGGAGCAGAAACCCAGCTCTGCCTCCTGCCAGATGATTCTTAATCAAGCCTTCATGATCTTCCACCTTGTCAGTCATAACTGACTGCAGTAGAGAGCTGCAGGGAAACAGGACCTTAGGCTGCTTTTTTGGACACAGTCACCTGAAAAGGAGTACGTTCTTTTGCATTATAGCAGTTTCACAGATCTGTTGCTCCGCTGACTTCACAAAATTATATTGGTGCAAAAACGAGTGAAGTTTTGTCTTGAAAAATGGATCAACTCCATTTAATGTACAATGGAACAAGAATGACAGATCTATAGAATAAAAAAACCCAAAATTTCTTGTTTTTCAAGAGTTTCTTTGCTTCTTTGAAGGTGGTATAAGTGACTGGAAGAATCTTTTCAGTGAAGATCAGAATGAGAAAATGGACAAAGCATTTGAAGAACATATAGGAGGAACTAAACTGGGAACAAAGTTAAAGTATGAAGTGTACTGTAAAGCCTGAAGAGTAATAAAATGTAGTTAGAGCAAGAGATTTCCAATGCACTCTCAGATCATATGAATGCTATATACTAGAAAACTAGATCAAATGATCCAAGCGCCTTAGAATTACTGTAATAATCTCATTGCAGCAGCCTTTACAGTGACAACGATGAATTTTGTTTTAAAGGTGAGAATTTTGTTTTTAAAGGCTTTTGTTTTAAAGGTGAGATCTTTGGCTTGCTTTAGCTACACTCATTTGCTGAATAAGATGGCAACTAACCATATTCAGGTAAACTTAACGGCCCTGTTTCAGTAGCTGTCACCTGGAAGGAAATGCCCCTTTACTCTTTCTAGCCAAATTCAGTCTTTTTAGACTATTTACAATTATTTAGTATGTAGAATTTTTTTTTTTTGCAAAAATGTTTCAAATCGGGCAACGTCTTCACAGAAAAGATCACTAGCAAAAATATGGATCTGACACAACCTTAATTAATGACAAAGGATATCTTCCCCATGACTTCAGCACAAACTGCATCAAAGCTAGAGGGAGGAGAATGAAGGGGAATGGGGATCAGCATTCTTAGGGGTTGTAATCTCTCTGAATGCAGAATTTCAGGATGGATTTCAGATTATGGGCTGGTGTTAACAAGTTGTACCAGGAGAGGTTTCATCTCGATATAAGAAATAAATTCTTTACAGTGAGAACAATCATTCACTGGAACAACCTCCCCAGCGATGTGGTAGAGTCCTCATCACTGGAGGTTTTCAAGATGCAATAATCTCATCTAAGCTCCCTTTCCCATGAAGTGTTGTACCAGATGATGTTTCAAGGTCCCTTCCAACCTGGGCTGTTCTATGATTCTATAAAAGCAGCGCCTCTGAGTGGATCTTGCCTGTTAACACCAGCCCATAATCTGAAACTGCTTTTATGTTTTCCATGCTCCAGCCATAAAATAGGAAAAGAAAATGTAGTGAATGTAGAAGATGATATTTCCCACCATTAATACGAGTGCAGCGCTCTTACCACAAAACTACAGTTAGCATTCCCTCTGTTCATTCTTGATTTACATATGTGCCAACAGTTAAGCTTTAACTTAAATCAATACTTAAACACTGACATAGATTAATTTCCATAACTGGAAATCCTCTGAAACTGAAGATGCCAAAATTTGCTGAAACTGGCTCTAGCGAGAAAATGAGATTGTCAAGGGTGATGGTGCGAGACATTACTATACTCAGCTATTTTGTACCAGCATTGGTATTTGGCACTGTGGACCTGTCCAGCGACCAACTGCACTTCAGCCACCTGTTCTGGAAAAATAGCAAAATATGGTTCTTTAAGTATAGTTGAATTAAAAACTGGAAAAACCCACACCCAATTTATAGATCCAACACCTAAGCAGATAAGAAGTAAAAATAAAAGATACAATAGGAAAGAGTAAAGTATTCAATGACTTCTTGCCTCATTCTTCTAAAGCTGGTTAATTCTGCCTGGACATGGAGAAACGCAGAGTTTTGCAAAGAAATAGGAATGCTAGAAATAATACTTAAATTTTTTTTTAAAATGAATGGATTCAAAAGCAGAGCATCTGAAAGTCCTGACACAAGCCACCTTTGAACAACTAGAAATTATCTGTAAGAACCCAGAAAGGTACCAGATGCCTGGAGGAGGACATACATAATAGCTGTGTTTAATAATGTGAGAAAGAAGAATCAAAATAGAGCAGTCATCTTAACTTGATACCTGGAAATTTACTTACAAAAATGACCAAGCAACCAACCGTGAAACATTTTGAGGATAACAAGGTGGTAAGTATAAACTATGTCAAAGCTGTTCATGTTCCGTCTTTAAAAGAAAACTTATCTCTTGAATAAGCCATAGACAGAAGATACAATAGATGACAGCATCAGAGAGGTTCTGAAATTATATGACAAAAGAGACACAATCTAGATCAACAAACTTATGGCTTCATATGTGGAGATGGCAACTTACAAATGTGGTTATAGAAATGAAATTAAAGTACTGAAAGTAGATTTGTGTTCCTAGAAATTCATACAACAGTTACAAAAGGCACCCAGAAGCAGGGTCATCAGCAGCAATACTTTCAGGAATATCCACTTGCTTACATGGCTGTTATGAACTTGGTTGCAATAGTGTGCTTATGGTCAAACTGCATATACTGGATGACAGCAAAATTGGGAGGACAATTAAAGCAATATCCTTTAGTGGTGAGTCTTGGTCATATTCAACATTGTTCTTAACACTGGTGGACAGACTAATATCTGTATCATATATGACTAACTTTTAAGTCTGGGGATCAGAACAGAGGGCTGGGGAAAGTACTGGGGAAAATGGGGAAACAATTCAAAACATCATAATAAATTGAGAAGAAGATTGGCAAACATGAAGTTCAGTAAAGGTAAGTGTAAAATGCTACATTTAGAAAAGAGAAACCAAAGGCACAAGTACTTAATGGGGGCAAACTAGTCAAGCAGCAGTTGGCATGAAAAGACCTGAGGAATCACACTCAGCAAGGGCTAACATGGTGAAAGTGCTGGGAAAAAAAAAGGTTAGATCTTATTCTGGTTTACAGTAACAGGAGGATGATACCTAAGACACAGGCAATAATTATTACAGCCTGTGGTTACAGATCAGTCTAAACTGGAGAATGCTGCTTAGGGAGGCTGCAGAGACATTTAAGGAAGCATCTGGCAGGGAGAAGATAAGCATGCTTAATACTTTAGTAGTACGGGGGGGGACTAGAAAGTCATATTGACTGACACAATAGCACTGGTTTTCAAACTTTATCATTGCTAGTTCCTTACCAATTGTCCAAAAAAAAAAGTATCTTTCTTTCTTGTCTAGTCTTTTTTGTTACCTATAATTCCTGAAATGATATATTTCCATTTCCAATGCTTACATTGTATTTCTGTCTATTTGCTTTAAAGATGATGAAGAAACCAGAAAAATTATACTAACCCATCTCCCACCTCATGTCCTTTCCCCAATCCGTTTTCCAAAACAAGGCTAAGGTGAATCTTCGGCTAAGGTGAACCTTCTCTTTGTGTTGTACTGCAAATGCTCCTGCCAATAGCATTTCCATCCAAGGCAGATTTTCATGTAGATGAATTGAACGATTCAGAGTTTTCCCTGGGGACCATGTGAGCTGTGCCACAGTCGTACAGCCTTCCTGCAGGGTCACCTGCTTACCCTGAGACACTCAGCTGCTGGGCAGACAGCGCTGAGGCTGGGACTCCTGGATCCCTCAGGACACCTGAGGGTTCCTCTGATCCTCTCCAGAGAGACAGGGTTGCTCTGAGCCCTCACATTGCAGCTCCTAAGCAGTCTGCCAGATGGCTGTGACAGCATCGAGGGCCCCACTCATGAGCAGAGATCAGGGTCCAAGGGCTAAAGGACCCGGAGGCACCCATGTCCCAGTGGCTCAGGTGACAAGTTGTTAGATTTCATGTTGAGGTGTTACAGTGATCTGGCTTCCTCAGGATTCAGGCAGCTGGCTCTGGAGGCAGGAGGAAAAATGCTAATTTCTTGATGCTCTTACTCTTTAGTATTGGCAAATGGGAGATTTTCCTTTGCAACTCAGAGTAAACACATGGACAGAAAACTGAAAACAGTAACAAAGCTGGCAGTAGGCATAATATATCAACAGTGTCTCCAGTTTTTATGAGTAAAATAGCACTGCTAGAGAAAATATTTCCAATAAAATGGTCTATTTTGATGGTTCTGCATTTTGCAAGACCAGAAAAATAATTTTAAATGATTCTTTGTAGGTAACTGTAAGCAATCTTCCAGGTCTTAACAGTTACGCTTTTGATTTGACACTTCCTCATGCTTAATTAAGCTTGTGTATAGGTTTACTAAGTGTCTAATATCCATTTATGAAGAAAGAGACAAAGATGTGATGCACAGCAGTGTGGAGCTCTCTGTGGGTTTGATATATGGGTAGTGAACGAGACCCATACTTTATTCAAGGGTGTGAAAGAATGAAAGAGTGAAAGGCGCCTCCACAGGGGTCCACCTACACATCCCAGGTGGTGTTAGTTGAAAACTGAGACTTGGGTCTCCAAGGCCAGTCCCTCACACACCAGTTTTCCCAGGTTGCAGAGGCCAAGACAGCGAAGACTGGTGCAAAGATGGTGACAGGAGCTTGATGGTCTGGTGGTTTGGTTGATGACCCCTTCTGCTGCCAGTTATGGAAGCCTAGCTGGAGCCTGGGAATGAGGCCAAACTGTGTTGATCATGAAGAGGCTGTAAACTGAAGCTGGTCAGGAGGAGGGAACAGAGTGTTCCCAAAGACAGCACTGTGGAAAGAGAGCAGAAACAGCCAAGGGATGACTCAGTTGGCCCTGTGCTGGGAGCTCCACTGCTCTTGAGTAATTTCCACAGGGAGTAGTTTGAGGTGACCAAAAAGTGCCAGAGCTGGAAAGAGCAATAGAGGTCTGCTTCTGTTTCCACTGAGGGATGGGGTGTGCTTCTGAAGCGAGCAGGGTAGCACTCCACAATGTCTGGCTGACAGCTCTGTCCCTGTTGGCTTTTGGCATACCTTTGTTGATTATTGCCCGGTGTCGTGTTTTAATCTCAGTCGGCAACTAAGCCTCACACAGCCGCTCACTCACTCCCCCCACAATGGGATGGGGGAGAGAAACAGAATCGTGAAAGGGAAAAAAGTCGTGGGTTGAAATAAAGGCAGTTTAATAGGTAAAACAAAAGCTGTGAGTGCAAGCAAAGCAAAATAAGGAATTCATTCACTACTTCCCACCAGCAGGCAGGTGTTCAGCCATCTCCAGGAAAGCAGGGCTCCATCATGCATGATGGTCACCTGGGAAGACAAACACCGTAACTCCGAATGTCCCTCCTTCCTTCTTCTTCCCCCAGCTTGTATTGCTGAGCATGACATCATATGGTATGGGATATCCCTTTGGTCAGTTGGGGTCAGCTGTCCCAGCTGTGTCCCCTCCCAGCCTCTTGTGCACCCCCAGCCTACTTGCTGGTGGGGCAGTTCGAGAAGCAGAAAAGGCCTTGACTCAGTGTAAGCACTGCTCAGCAATAATGAAAACATCCCTGTATTATCAACACTGTTTCCAGCACAAATCCAAAACATAGCCCCATACCAACTACTATGAAGAAAATTAACTCTGTCCCAGCTAAAAGGAGCACAGCCACCTGTTTACAGGCTAAGACACAATATAGAGCCAAACTGGTTCACAAATGTGAAACAGTTTGACAGGATACTGTCAGCCAGGTTGACATGAAAAAGTGCAAATGTGCAGTCCAGAATGGATGGTGTCTTTATCCTTTCAGGAACCAACTGGCTTGACCAAATGGTGAGGGAGTTGGAATCAACAGATGCCAAATATACAGAAGAAGGCATGAAAGAGAGAATAAATGCTGAAAAGAAGCTAGAGATATTTCCATGTCTAGAATTTGGAGATCCTGGGATATATGAGGTTGGCAGGGACTGAAAATATTGGCACTGCTCTTCTTACAGGTAGTATTAGCTGAAAGACAATGGCTGATCTCACAGGTAATGGAGAGCCTAGAGCCTTAACAACAGCTATGGTCTGCACAAGTAGCATGTGCTATTGTCCTTGGTGTCCCAACACCAGGGCCTCAGAGCCCAGACAGTGCTGAGAAGCCACAGGGGCTCCAGCCCTGGACCCAGTGGGTTTGATCAATAAGACCTTTCTCTTGGGTGTGCTGTCCTCAGGCCTGTTTCATGTGAAATGGTACTCTGTGGCAGAGGCTGGCAGAAGCCTACCCCACCAGTGCATCCCTGTGGGTTTTCCAAGGGATAAGAACCTTCTTCTCTGGTGTCACCTTTTCATATTACCCACAATTTCTGAAAAGGCACATGTCACTGAATAAGCTACTTCTGTCCCGTCACATTTCTTCCCACTTGCTTTACAGAGGATGAAGAAACTGCCTTCCAGAAGAATTATACTAACTCACCTGTCACCTCATCTCCTGCCCCCATCCATTTTCCAAAGCAAGGCTAAGGTGTGTCTTCTCTTTGCATCACACTGCAAAAACGTTTCCACCCCAAATTAGCTTTCCTCTGTCTGTGAGAGGTGTTTCCTGCACTTTCACCTGGGCTGGTCAATGCACAGGCACATTTCCAAGGTTGAAGAGGCAGAGTGCTGTGTGCTGAGGCTATGAACAAACATCCTTTCCCAGCAGCAGCTTTGCTGACTCAGGAGGTTACTGTCAGTGGGCTTGTCGCTGGGTGTCACTGCCCCTTCAGTTTTCCTTCAGAAAGATGCTTCCAGGTTTGTGTCAGAAAACTGAGCAGGGCAAGCAGTTATTCTGTTTGCTTTAACTTGCCTCCAAGACCAGGGTACCTGTGGAAAGCCCACCACAGGCTGGGGCTAAGATAGTCTTCAATGCGAATTTCTGCAGAGAGAAGCAAGGGTGCACCCACAGCCTGCTTGTGGGTCTCCTGTTCAGTAGCCCATGAGCTCATATCTCTGGATTGGAGCTAGCTCAGCACTATGTCTCAAGGGCATCACTGAAAAGCTTCTTGTTTTCACCCTGAAGCTCACATTAGCAGCAAGTGGCCTGCCAAAGCTCTGATTTCTTGCTCAAGAAAAGCAATTAGACCAGCTTTGTACAGTCTGGTGGGTGTTAGTGGACATGTGATGTGTTGAGAAGATGGCATTTTGGTCAGTCACCAAATCAGAAGCAAATTATGTGTTTTCTTCCTCCAGATCCTTGTGCTAGTTTGGAACCCCAAAGAAACATCTGTCTCCTATTACCACTTCTACAACAACATGCTAGTACTGCCATCCTTCGCCTCCTGGGATGAGTACTTTGCAGCCTTCATGAACGGAAAATGTACTTTGCCCTGCATCCTCTGGCATTCCTCCTTACATGAGGGGCATACACAGGACCCTGTGCATGGGAATGCTGCCCCAACATACCTTACCAAGGCACTCCCAGAACAGAGAGACAGGCCCATGCTATGGCTGAAACAGGGAGTACCAGAGAATCGGTTTCTTTTGTCTCTAACTCTGAATGGGAGATCATGAGAAAGCTTTAGCCTGACTTTTCCATTCCCACAATAGAGCTTGTGGTTCAGTGCAACATACTGGCCAGAGCTGGGGGATCCTGCATGGACCTCAGCCAAAAGAACAGACATGTTGAGCTGGTCCTCACTTCACCATCCTGACATCACGCTTAGAGAGCTGTCTGGGCTGACTCCTCTGATTTGGTAAGGGCCTGTTTTGGGGAATACCCTACACAGCTATGTTTCTTCTTTGTTTGCAGTGGCCTGGGGATCCTACTTTGACTGCTTAGTGGAATGGAACAAATACCTCAACCATGAGAGGATCATGATGATAAGCTACGAGCAACATAAAGAGGTTTGGCATCTCACCCAGCTCTTCCTTGATGGGTGCCCTGTGCACCCCTCCTGATATGTACGGCTGTGGGGAAGAAGAAACTCTTGGGTCAAGCCTGCCTGCCCCTTTAGAAGGGCATGCCTTTCTGAGCTACTCTTTTATGTCTGGGGGAGGCTCATGGGGTTAGGAAGAGGGTAGCCTTGCCTATTAGCAGAAGGAGTCATATCTGGTACAGGCACAGTTGCTTTTGGGAGAGACGAAAATGCCTTGAAGTTGAGGCCACCATGTGTGGGTTCCCTCTCTGTTAGAGCTCCTAGAACTCCTTGGTGACACTGTGGGAGGCAGCCTCCTCTGCTGGGCTTCCCACCAGGTTCTGGGTCTATGCCACAGCCACGGTGTCAAGTCTTTTGGTTTCACCTCTGTGCTGTGTTCCTTTGGCCAGGACCAGATACTGGGAATGAAAAGGATTGCTGCCGCCTTTGGATTCTCCTTGTGTGAGGAATATTTTCCCAGAATTGCCAAGCAGACCAGTTTCATAGAATCATCATAGAATTATCATAGAATTGTTGAGGTTGGAAAAGATCTTTAAGATCATTGAGTCCAACTGTTAAGCTAGCACTGCCAAGTCCACCACTAAACCATGTCCCTAAGTGCCGCATCTACACATCTTTTAAATAACTCCAGGGATGGTGACTCAACCACTCCCCTGGGTAGCCTGTTCCAATGCTAGACAACCTTTTCGGTGAAGAATTTTTTCCTAATATCCA